ATTTACCGCAAATTGCTCGAGGCTTAAGTTGGTTAACTTATCTGAGGAAAGTTTGTGATGCATATTTATTTATGGTTCTTTGCTCTATACACCTTTGATAAAGGAAATAATACATAAATAAGGGAAATTTATAAATAGTACAAATGACATTTAAACTTTAATTCTGTAAATAAAAAAAAATTATGTAAATAAAAAAATGTAATAACTAAAATAAAAATACAATTAACATTAGTGAGCTACACACACAGACCTGAAGCTTTGCTTCCAACTGCTTATCCAACTGCGTCTCCAGCGCCTTAAATTCATTTATCAATTAATTAAGCATTTTAACGGCATCTTCATATATCGCACAAATATATATCTCCTTCTCAGCTCAAAACTTGAGTCATATCATATCTAGGGCATTGACTGTCTCGACAACAATCTTAGCATAAATCAATCAACAGGATATAAGAAAGTCATTGAATACATTTGCTCTCTTCACACATTATCCACACTTAACAGTTACCAACACCGAAGACGCAGAATCATTCGAGAGAAGAAAAAAAAAACACCGTTAAGCGAATGAGATGAAATTAATGAGTTTTAAAGTGATTTAAACCGAAAACGAGGCGACAAAGCTACGGCTAATTGAGACAACTGGATCAACCGCAAGGTGACTCACACAATATGCTCCACATTCTCACACCAAGACACCTTCTTTTTCCTTCATATACCTACATATATTTTTTCGATTTTATTTTTAGTGCTTTTTTTTTTTTCATCCCGTGATTAAAGCGCTACCGAAACTCGGCCGCAACCCACCTTCCGGCACCCCCTTCTGGCCGACGGGCAACGCAATTATTATTGCCATGTCATAGTTGGAAAGTGAAGTGCCTGAAAGCCTGGCTACACTGACTACCAATTATATATGTACGTACGTCTACATATACATATATCTGTATGCATATTACTCTTTTACGGTGGCATTCAAACAATATCGAAATCTCTCTAATGAAGTTGAAGATCGGCCCGGCTACTGTCAGCGTTTGTAATTGTACTGCTGTATGTTGCTAGAGAAATCAAAGCAATTGCAGGGCAGACCGTAAGCCACGTCTAACACCGCACTTGAGCCCGTGCGCCCCAAGCATTTCAGTTGTTTTTTTCTCGTCTTTTTCCATCTCTTTTTTTTTTCTTCTTCTTGAGAGTGGAGCAGCGAGTGGAGTGCACTTCACAGCGCGAGAATCTCTCGACTCGCAGCAGGTTGACGTTTGCTTTGAACATTTTTAAATATCAGCTAAACTCGGTCAGAATTTGGAGCACTGGAGCTCAAGCCAGGCAATTAATCATAGAAATTTCATTCGCAGCACACAAATTGCCAAATAATTGCAGAATATTTCGGCTAGGTTTTACTTTCAAAAAAATGTCGAAAAGCCTGAAAACGTAAATCGCTCATTGGTCAGGTGAGATTTATGGCTTGATTATTTGCTTATGATGGCCAGGCCAATTGGCCAACGTTTAGGCCAGGCTAAAGCGCTCATAGTTGTTTTTGGTTATACTCTGATATTACATGGAGTATATCCTTGAGATGTCGGTGGGTTAAACTGGGCTCAAATTACCTAAAGACTCTTTCATTTTAAGACTGTGACAACTTGATTACGGAGGACTTATCTTTAGCTGTATGAACATCTTTTCCCAGTCAACTTCTAATCGAAGTTCTCATAGGTTTTCACAAAATCTTCTCGACTGCAACAACTTCCTTAATTGCAAGTGTATTTGGTATTCGTTATTCTTTATAGAGCCGCCTTTTTCTTTGCCTTGCTTACAGCTGGCAGTCGAGCAATGGCAACTTTAATTGGACTTATCATAGAGTCTGGGCTGTGACTCTGTCTCTATGTTGAACTCGAGACTCGCATCAGCGTCCATGTACTTAGCCTAGCTGCTTTCTTTTATGGCCGCTTGGTATAATGACTATGTGGATCGGTTCGGCTGAATTTATCACCCACTCAAATGCATTTTTCCATACTGCGAACTCGCCGAGGTCCACGAGTCGAGTGGAGCCATGTACCTGCCACGGTCAAAGCAATAATTCAATAAATCTATTGCACAAATCCATGCGTTATTGGCAATATGATGATGAGGCTGACTGCAACGATCCGACGCGACGTTCGTCTCATGACGATCGACGCTCGACGATCGACGATCAATGGTCGACGGTCGACGGTCGACGTTTACTTGCATTATGCAGAAACTGTCGGCCAGAACTTGAACTCCAACTTGACTTTGACTAAAGTCCATCAAGTGGAAGTGGAGTTGGCCTGTGGCCAACCGCAAAGTATGCCCGGTTTGTTTTTATTATATTTAGCAGAGAGCATAATAATTCTTACAGCCTCAAGTTGATAACGTTTGCATGGCCAATGATACACGCTACGTGGCTCGAGTGCCGGCCAAAGTTGGAAGTGGACGTGGAGGTGGAGGTGGTGATGGAGAGAGAGGTGGGGGCTGCTTGCCTCAAGTGGAGTGGAAGTTCAACTCGGAGTCGAATGCAAATTTGTTGCAACATATTGGCGTCGCTGAGTTGCTACAGAAGTGCGCATCAAAAACTACAAAATAAAGAAAAACATTTATAGATGTGACTACCCATTCGTATACCCTGTATATAATGAATGTATGTGCATGTGTTTGCAAGGGTCTAAATAAGAGTATACCCTTCTTCAGTCTATTGTGAGAAATTCCGCTACATGAATAATTTCATATCTGCCAATCACTTGCTTTTAAACATTTATAAAATATATCCTATGTATTTATTTAATATAGTTGTCAACTTAGCAATATTATAAAACTGACCTCTATACTCAGTCTCCAATACCTTTTACAGGATATCTTCCAGTGCAGCACTCTTCCTTGTTTATCTTGCGAAACTCTGTGAGCTCAGGCGTAGGCTAGACAGAATACCCAAATGCTCAGCAAAATGAAATATTATTCATGGCTTTGGCAACTTGTTGCAGCAGAGTTTCTGTAGCAAAATCTGCATATGAAAAATTATTATTGTAATCCATTTGGTTCTCTAGTTTTCTTTTTTTTTCTGCTTTTTTTCTTGCCTAAGAATAGCTCGTCTTGGTGCCCGGAAATTATGCAGCATTTTGTTTTTTCTGTGCCGTACCAAAACCGTACCGTTCCGCCCCCGAAAGAAAGGCGTCGGAAGATTTATGCCTGTTGCACAGTTTTTGAAGATTTGCGCGCTTTTTGTTCTGATTCTGCGTCGTCCGTTGGCGTTTTTGGCCCATCCGTCCCACTGGCCCGCCGTCCGTCGATCCATCTGTCTAACTGTCTGTCTGACGGACTAGCTGGCTGGCCGTCTAGCTGTTTGGGCCTCGTTGTTATTGTTGCTTGTGGGGGCTTAGAAAATTTGTACAACATGCGCTCGGTGTTTCCCATAACTCAGCATTGCCTGTTGTTCCTAACTGCTCGCTGCTCTCTGCCGCTGCTCGCTTCTCCCTGCCTTCTGCTAACCGCTCTTGGCGGCCTTTTGGTGTTGAAATCATTTGTAGTGCAAATTTTGCCCCATTGGCCGCTTGATATATGAGGCAAGTGTGAAAATATATTTGATCAAATAGCAAAGCTTTTCCAAATTGCCCAAGAGAGAGGTGAGATTTATGGGATTAGAGCTTAGAAAGGAACTTTGAGGTTACCCCTTAAGTGCGCTCCCCTCTCTTAACGTTTGTCAAGCAGAACGATAAAAGCTGATCTCAAAAGACTCAAATTTGTTGATTAGGTGAAAGCAGCTGAAAAGAAACGCATTCATTGAAGATATATGGATTAGGTTCAAAATGCTTCAATTTGGTTAAGAATATATTTCTCATTAGAGGTATTCCCTTAAGAGTATAATTAATTTAGATAAACAAAAAATAACTAATAATAATCAAATACTAAGAGCAAAGTAAAAGAGAAACCCGGAAGTACACTATAAATCATATGTTAATTTCCCATATATTATCTACTGTTATAATGTGTAGTGAATTTTCACCTCTTTCACCTCACACTCACATGTATGTACATACATATATTGATATCTATATTTTTAGAGACTTGAACAGACGCTCTACGCAAGTCTTATGCATATTTTTCTCCGCTTATTTTTGGCACTTCCATCTGCAAAATAAACACTTTGGGCAGAGCTTTTAACCCACTGTCATAACTCAATAAATCATCAACGATCAACGAACGGCTAACACCTACCCAACCCAAATATAAATATGTGTGTAGGTTATATAACTGGCCGAAAAAACTTCAGGTGAAATTCGCAGTTAGAGTGACAATAACAACAACAACAACAAATGAATATAGACAACAATATGGATGCCCGCATCCTCAAGCTAATCCGGCGCCACAAACCGCAAAAAACCGACGCAACAGCGACAACAACATTTCTCCAAGAGGAACTTGAAGATCGGTGCAGATGCCACAGCATTTGAGGGTCTTCCATGGCTTTTGTGGCTAATGATGCGACACATTTGCTAATTTCTATTGAAACCCACTTGCCAATGGAAGCTGTGTGTGTGCGTGCGTGTATGTGTGGGGGGGGAGGGATGCATGTTAATGATGCCAGGTCAATGAGTGCAGAGACCGCAAAACAGGTCTCAATCTCAAGTGTAGAGAGTTGAGTTGCAAATCGCATGGGCTAAATGCCAATACCATCTATGCCCATCTGCCACCCGAAGCTTTCTATTGTGCGTGCACGAAATTAGACCATGTTCAAATTAATTAGTGCCCCCCGAGACAGATACAAAGAGAGAGATAGAGAGAGATGGGCAGACATCAGTGCGGCGGCTGCTCATTGTGTTAATTAAATCGGGATAACTGGAAAGTGTGCAAAATGTGATTCACTTCAGGGAAGTAGCAGAAGGGGGCCGCCAGTTGGTGTAGCCAGTTCGTCAGTTTGTCAGTCTGTCCGCTCGTCTGTCAATCAGTCAAACGCGCCGTCATTCCCCAATCACTTTGCGCTCTCGGTTCACGTCTACATTTCCATTTCTATGTCTCAATGTCTATGGCTGATTTATGATTTGCATAAAAAATCATTGGCAATTCTTTTGCGGCTTTTATTTGTATATTTTCTTCTTCTTATTTTTCTTCTTCTGTTGCTGCTTACACTATTTTGGTTTTATTTTGAGTTTGATTTTTATTATTTACTTTTTTTCTCTGTTTGCATTTGTATAACTTTTACCTTTTGTTTGAAAGTTTAGCTGACATTTGAACTTTTCACCCACAATTCCATTTGCTGGCGTTGAAAAATCTTTTAAGGAAATATCGCTAACCGTAACCAAAATGGACATTTCTCGACATTTCCTTAAATGCGCACCAAGTGAAATTTGCTGTGCGCTGCAAGAGCAACAACAACAACAGCAACGGCAACAGGAAAAGGCTGCGCCTTTGCACGCGCCTCACGTGCAACATATCGACAGATACCCTGTAAGTAAACCAGTTCAGCTTGAGGTGTTACTGCTTCCATTGACTTCCGATCTACTTGATATTTGCTTCAAGTACAGGAACTAATGTACGGAAATGCATATTAAAATTTTCGATTACCGAATGAAAATGTACTGATATTTAGCTTAATGCTTTCATCTGAATTCTTGTTAACTGCATTTACACTACGGTATTCCTTAGTCGAGAAACGGTACTCAACGTAATGACATCACTTTCTTTTTACTTTGTATAGTATTCTCGCGCTGGGCCATATCAGTAGATCTCTCGAAGGTGATCTCAAAACATTTTGATATTTTACTTGACTCGCGACGAGCTACTGGGCAAGACCCTATACATATGTAGTATGTATTACACACATGTTCAGTTTTCTAGATAAGCCAATTAACGGGCATTTATATATTTAAATATTTTTAATCGAGAGTAATCTAACGATAGTACTCGATGTATATCAATATAGATCTCATAACTAAGTTGTAACAGAGACTTAAACTAAATTATTTACTATAAAATGGCTAGCATCCTGTCATACTGTTATACTGTAACACATATTATAACGCTAAACTATCCAATTGCTTTACTGCTATACTAGTATGCTAAATCCTTAATACTATTCTATTGCTATACTATTTTATAGTTAGACTGTTGTTTCGTTTAACTGGTATACTGTTATACAGTCAGACTGTTGCACTGATCTACATACTATTATTGTTATACTGTTGTACTGATATTGATACATGTCATAGTGTTATACTGTTATACTATTACTCTCATATACTTCTATACTGTTACGCCATTCAGCTCACTTAGCATTTACAGTGTTATACTGTTGTTCAGGTTTTCTATTATAAAACATATACAGTTTTACTGTTAAGATTTTATGCTATTACTTTGTCCTAATATATTGTCCTAATATATTGTTGAACTGTTATACAGTTTTAATGCTTTCTGGTTGAGCCGATCGCACTTTGTTGCCTCGTTGTTTGCGCTACTGTTATCTACAGGTAACTCGATATGAAATCGTCATCAGAAATACTTAAGGTAAGGCCCCCACCCGCTAACCCCAAGAGTCTTTCTCTTTATTCGAACCCACAGGGCTGTGCTGCAGGTAATCGGATAGGCCACAAAAGGCGAAAGTCTCGCGCATACCATTTTTTCCACCATTAGTTTATTATTGTTATAATTTCTTTATTGTCATTATTATATGCGAGCACTTTTTCAAAGCTGCTTCATTTGAGCCAACACATTCGTAATTACCATCATGCCAGCAGCAAACCAAACACACACACACACACACACACAGACAGACACACACACACAAAGAGACAGACAGAGAAAGACACCGAGTTGGAGTCGCAGCAACGTGTTGATTTCCAGGCAACCGCAAATCCACTTGGAGCCAGCCCAACGAGGGGCACTGAGAGCCACTTGAAATTATGCGGCTGTTAGCTACCAGATAACGCTTTTGATTATGACAACGGGCCATAACGACGAGATGAGATGCAGCCGAGGAGGCAGCTTTGGCATCGGCATCGGCTTTGGCTTTGGCTTTGGAAAGTGGCAGCTGGCTGGAAACAACTTGGCCAACTTGCTAGCCACGCGGGGGTGCCTGATGCGTGCCCAGCTGCCATGGCTGCTGTTGCGGCTGCATCTGCAAAGACAATCAAATCATTTTTCGGCTGCCTGACACTGATTCACATTCATGTCATATGGCCAACGGGTGCACACAGCAAATGAAATCTGTTTTTATTTTTTTTTTTTTTCTTTCTGTTTTTTTGATGTGCCACCGATCCAAGTGCTGGACTGCCACTTGGTGAACTCTTTTGGGGTATTGGCGCGCGCGGCGTTTGTTATGGTCTCTATTATTGTTTATGATGATGGAGTGGCCCGGCTATGGACCAGAATTCTATTCACCTTCTTTTGACTGCGGCCGGCTATTTGTCGTCCACTCTTGTGGCATTTATGAATTTCTCCAGCTTCTTTCGGTTACAGTTTTATGAAGTTATGTGCGCTACAAAATGCATAAACAATCGAGAAACCAATTTGAAGTCTTGCAAAGCTAGAGATTGAAAAAATATATATACAAAACAAAACGAAACGAAAAATGTCGAAATCGTTGCCCCCGGTTTAATTTCGGGAGTCTCTTTCTTATTATTGTTCTGGATTGAAATTGAAGCCAAAGTCAGTGTAAATACTGAAAATATTTGCGCAGAGTACAGTGTGATGGGAGCTAAAGGTGACCAAAATATAATATCTATATAAATAATTAAGTGAATATGAAATCATGATGGGCTACGAATTCTTTTATTATTTATTTTGAGGGTTGTAGTTTGATATATCAAGTCATTAGCGATATTATGCATATATCAGATTGTAACAGGAAGTTATATATTAAATATTATAATATATATTATTACGATTATATATATCTAATATGTAAGTTATTAGTTAGAGTTATTATTATTATTATTATAATTATTATAATAATAATTATTATGGATTAGCCTAAATTCCATTACCCTCTCAGTAATGCACAAGTCATTTGTCATTCTCGCTTGCAAACCCTTTACCATTTAGAACAATCTAATCTTATCCCACTGTGCGCGCACTCAACATATTTTCATAGCATTTGAATATCTTTGGGCAAATGACCGCAACTCCGCCCCACAGCTTTGCTAAATGAGTATAAAATTGAGGCAAAAAAGAAGACAATTAAGCTTAAGGAGCATTTCATTTGATCGAAGAAAGTTACCAGTTATAGAGAAACCCATAGGCATAGACATAGACAGAGACAATAAACCAACAATGTCTAGAGCCCAGAGCACTGCTGCAGACATGTGGCTGAGCACAAGCTCAGAGCGTTTTATTTATGGTCCGCAGCACGATAATGGACCTTGAATAGTGGCATAGTGGCCGCATGCCGCATACCTCATGCCGCTAGTAAGCGCAGAACAAGTGCCCCCCACATGAATCATATGAGTCGACGGAGAGGGCGGTCCATTTGAATTGCAAAACGACAAACATTGCGTACAATTTTGACATTTACGGATCATAACAATTTGAATTTACCGTTCGCAAATGAGTCCATTTTTGGCTATTTGGCCACTCGCAGATCCACGCACCGCAATGCCCTAGGGCATCAATTTGGACATGTGCCGTGTGTCCAAGCGATTGTTATTTTTCTTCTTTTTTTTTTTTTTTCTTTTTGCTTTTTGTTTTTGACTAGCAAATATTTTAAGTGGCTACCATTTGAATGGCCCACAAACAGTCCGAGAGAGACGGGAAGAAAGAGGAAGAGAGCTGAGATCTTTGCTGATCTTCCCTAAACAATTGATTCCCACAGCTGTCCCCGCAGCCGTTGCCCAAGGTGCGTTGCATTAATCAAAATTCCTGTTATATTTGTCCAAATGGAAATGAAAATTAACATAAATATGGAACAGCCAGACAATGCGAACGACATCGCGCTGCATATCCTGTATGTCGACCTCCCCCCCACTCTCCCCAACTGCAGCTCAACTTCCCCGTCTGCTCCACAAAAACGGTTTCACTTCCGATGCAAACAAATTTTCCCATGACCCCAAGTCGAATGTTGTCGAATGTTGATTTGCTCTTGTCAGCGTGTTGCCCGGGACTCGCCGGGACTCAAGACTCGGAACTCGGGACTCGGGATGGATGGATGTGCATGTGTGTAAGTATGTAGACAGGCAGGCAGGCAGGCAGCTAGGTAGGTAGATCCCAATTTTCAGCTTGTTTTATGTATGCATGCGCACGTTAGGAACCAGACAGCAGGAGAGCAACAGCCCGAAATCCATGTCGATGAACAGGTTCTTTTCCTGCTATAGTCATATGTATATATATATATATCTTTTTTTTTGGTAATTCGAGCCGTAGGAAATGGAGCAGCGGCATCTTTCTCATATGAATGCCATTTCGAATGTTTCGTTTTTTTTTTTTTTCTCTCTCGTATTATGAGTTCAGTGCACCTAGATGTGAGCATAAAAAAGAAGCGGGCGGTTCAGTCATGAGCTGTGTGGGAGCTAAGTTTTCAGCGCGATTCTGAAGAGTTGGGGGTCAAGACTTAGCCGTGAGAGCCAACCCAAGCCAGGTGGGCAAACCTCAAGATTTTTAAGGGCGGACTTTTCAGGGCAACAAACTAAATTATACATATGCTATACAATTTGATTAAAGCTCTAAACTCTGCTGCTACTTCTCTAATATAAAATGAAACCTATAACAAATAGCTACCACTAGCTACCCACGCACATACACACATACACGTGTCTGCTTATGCCCAGAAATATGTGAAATTATTGTCATAAGCAAATCTTATTGTTCATAGATAAGGCAAAATGTCCAACGCACGAAATACAACTAACAACAGCAGCAGCAACAACAACAACAACGGCAAACAAACACGACAACAATAACAACACGTTTTATTTATTTCCTGCATTTTGTTTGACAATTTTCGCTAATTTGTGCGAGTCCAGCGGGCTTACAAAAGCTGGACGAATATTGAAGTACACTTTAAATATATTTGGGATTTGGCTTATATAAGACAGCCTTATATCATATTTATTCCACTGGTCATTTAAATGGAAATAACAAGACTGAGACTGAAAAGCGTACAATATAAATGATAATTGATTTTTAAAAATTAAAAAGGATTTCATATTATATTAAAATACAAGTAAAATTATAAAATACTGATGGAAACTACAAATTAATTAATAATAGTCAATTTATGAAATTAATTTAATTTTTCATATTTTATTTATCTACCATATTTAAATTACATATATTTTTTCTTCCTCTTTAAATATTCCTTTAAGCTATTGAGCTAATAAAATTGCTTAAAATTTTTAAGAGATATTTTTTTGTTATATGTTATACTTAATTTATTAAATACCAAAAATATTTAGCATTATTATTGAAAACCTTTAATTAATCTAACTGCATTTAGAATATGTAACTAGAAATAAATTCACCAATTAATTCTATAAATTTAAATCAACTCTGCTATTATTCATTATTAATTATATTTTATATTATATATACATTTTTTTTTAATATTTTATATACATTTTATAAATATATTAAAAATTATATTATTATATTAGCTAGTATATTAAACAACAAACGCCTCAATACAGTTATCAAGCTCCAACTGAGAGTACGAGCCGTAACGCAAGTGTTTTGTGGGGGCTGCGCGCGTCGCTTTGGTTGGCTACACGGCAAAGCGCGTCAAAAAAGCTGCGAGAGAGCGATGAGAGATGCGAGAGTGTAAGTGTAATGGGGAGTGCGTGAGCTGAACGACAACACGATATCATCTTCGTACACACACACACACATACTAATACGCACACACACACTTAGGCAACCTGCTTGGCTATGGCTAGTTGGCGGCTTTTCACCCAATGCGGCTAAACCATTGTTGTTTTTGTTGTTGTTTATTTGTTTGTTTACTGTTGCTGTTGTTGTTGTTGTTGCTGCTGCTGCTGCTGTTTCGCCAATTAGTTAGCCGCTGTGGCTGCGTAGCGTGCAATATTGGCATTGGCTGAGCAAAGGGAGCGGGCGAAGCGGCGAGAGGGCGGACCCAAGCAGCAGACAGCCTGGCCAGACAAACAAAACTTGGCTCCCAGCCAACAATTGCGCAGGCAAACAGCAGTTAACGCGTTTTATTGTCTTCCAAGTGGCCACAGCGAAGTGTGCGTGTGTGTGGGGGGGGGGGAGGCAACATCAGCATGGCGCAGATCATTAGGCATAGATGAAGATGGTGTTATTATTTGCACGTTTTGTGTGAAATGCACTTGGCCCAGAGTTCGAATTTGGCAATTGTTAGATTTAGATTTAGCCAAGCCGGCAGCTAACTGTACTCCAAGTTGATAAACATGCTTTGATTATACAGAAGACTTCTAACTAAATGTGAGCCAGCTTTTAAGAAAATGAAAAGAGATGAATGTTTGACTAAGTGAGATTGTATAAAAGTAAATAATATTGTGTCTACAAGCTAAAATAAAAATCTCTTATATTAACTAAAAAACATAAAAAATAGTATAACAACTCACAGTTAGTTCTTTACCTGTGCATAGTTACCTATATTTCAAAATATATATTGCAGCTTGTCAATACAATAAACGAATATCACTTTCCTGATGTTTTGCAATTGCAGCTGGCACAATTTCAATTTCAGCTCCAACTCCGATTCCGACATCGTCTTCGACTGCAGCTCCAGCTCGCTGCCTGATAAACCTGACGACGACGTCAATTTTCGGATAATAAAGCAGAAAAAGTCACCAGCGACAACGCAAAATGGTAAACAGATCGAGCTTTATGAATATGCAAAGATAAACAACAACAATCGAAGCACCTACCTACCCTCGCACCCCCCACCCACTCAACCCCCACCGTCGCTCTACCTTTGTCTAGTGGAAGCCCCACTTGTCCCCTTTTGCTAAATGCTCGCGCGCAGTTTGTCATTTTGTTGGGGCGCAAAAGTTTTGTTGTTGTTGTTTTTTGTTTTTTTGAATTTCAAATTTTTTAACGAGCCAAAATAAAAACTTTCCAAACAAAAGGCTGTCCATACACAAAACACCCGCCGCCCAGCCTCTCTGGTCCTTAAACCTGCTCAATCCAGAGCAGATCCAGCCCAAATGAGGGAGCCACATCGAGCGCAGGCAACTTGCCTCAGCTGAATACGACAACAACAACAACAACAACAACAGCAGAATAGCAGACCAGCCGAATGAAATTTAGCGTAAAAATTGAGATCTTTTGTCTGCGATAAACGTGAGCATTTTGTTTGTCACGACGAAGTGTGCTTTTTTGCGCGATCGCTTCGTAGTTTCCAACTGAATTTCAAGCTGGAGGTTTTTTCTTACCCCCACAACAACAAAGCAGCTCCCCCAGTCGGCAGTCAATGGTAGAAAACTTGGCCAGTTCAATGCAGTTAATGAGAATTGGCAAGGAAAGAACTTGCAAGGATACGCCTAACTAGGTAAAATACATATATGAGATATTAGAAGACGATTGTGGAGCAATAATGGATCTTATAATAAAAAATATAAGTATTATTTTACTGATTTGTATTTTTTTTTTTTTTTTTTTTTTTTTTTTGTTGTAAGTATTTATTAAATAAATATTATATTTTAGTTCATCTGTTATTTAATATTGCTCTCAAAATTTTATCCAATGAGCTGATAAAAAAAATTCTATTGATTGCTAATTTCATAAATGTTGATTATGATGATGCTGATGATAATTATGACTAATAATAATGATAATTTTATTTAGTATTTCAAGATAGAACCATCTCTCTCTCTATCATCTATCTACATCTAGTTATTTATTTGATTTAAATAAAATCTGCTAGAAATTAGTTTAATATTTTATTCTCATTCTTGTATATTATATTACGTTTCAATATGAATAAATATATATATATATATACATATAAATATCATACTATATATCACATCATATCATATCGTATTCAAACTCTGCTACAGTCTCAATTTCCATTCTCTTTGCTCAGTTACAAATTAATTTCAGGCAAACATAGATCACCTAGGATTGTCTGTCCTCTCCTCGCATTCCCACATTCACACCAAATATTGTTGCAAATCTTTATAGTTTGCCAAAATTTATTATGGATGGCCATGGAAAGCCATGGGCAATCGTAAAAAAGCTATATTTAAATTTGCCGATTAGGCGCGAGAATTTGCACATATAAAATTCCCCACAAAAAAGTTCAGTAAAGAAGAAAAATAAAAGTAAAACCTAGTTTTTAGGTTCACAGGAATGGGAAGCGGGCAACAGTTGTTGCCACCTTTTGATACCCGCCGTTGTGTTGACCAGGTTTCATTTTTTTGCGCTTTGTTATCGCCAGCACATCGGCAGAAAGGCCCTCAGTGCGCGTCTATTTTGTTACAATTTAAGACGCTTATTAGAAATCGTTTGCAAATTGTTTGTGCAAGAAAGCAGCACGATCGGGCCGCGATACCCTCGCACCCGCAGCCCTACGCGATGGCAAGAGAAAGAAAAGCAGCGATAGAGAGAGAGCGAGAGAGAGATAGAGAGAGAGAGTGGGAGAAGTAAAGTGGAGGCAGAGGCAGGGCTAGCTTGTACTGTAGTGAAGTCGAGCCACGAAATGCGTGCATATTAATTTCATATATTTACGTCGAGTTGGCTCAACGATCGCAGCGCTGGGATCGCTGCACACGTGAGCCTCGACTCTCCACGAGACCTGACGATCCAGTCTGGTTTGGAGCCGCTGCTGCTGCTGCTGCTGCTGCTGATGATCTAATTTGGCAACAATTGTCGTAGTCGTGGCAGTTTGTTTACCATTTGGGTGCCTAGGGTTCGCTTCGTCGGGGGAGGGGGGGCCAGGGCCAGGTACAGCCGTACAGCCGTACAGTTGGAGGAGCGCAGATCCACACACATGTGGCCTGGCCTAACCTGGTCTACGCCTGGGCGATCAATTGATCTCGATAATGAGTTTGCTTAGCAGTCGAGAACGCACCCATATTTTGTACCCTATACGTATATTTAGGGTATTCGAATTTGGGCTGATGTTGTGGAACTTAAAAGTATGTATTGAAGAGTGAATACTTATATATTTAAATTAATCTATATATGGGAAACTGTTAACATTTGACTTCTTTAAAAAGTCTTATGCGGATAATTGATTGATTATGATTGATATATTTCCATGTACTCACATCGAACTTGTTCACATAGTCTTCAGCTTTAAACAATGGAATATCAGATTTGAATTGTGAATACATTTTTCTAAAATATTTAGGTATTTACAAGTTGAGTTATTTGAGTGATTGCTGTATTAATTGCTTGAGTGATTGATGGGGGATCAAATATACAATATTATATTTTTTGTTAAGGTGAGAAAAGCAAAGTGAGATCTATATTGAAGTCTATTAAAAATCGTGAAACCCCATTCTGATATGATGTTAAATATAATATATTAAAATAAAAAATAAAATATATAAAAATATATATACAATATTATATATTGTAGTGTATTTAAAGCAACTGCTAGCCGTATCATGCATATTCCTTACCAATTTTTAAAGTAGTTGTCGCCCGTGGAGCGTCGCCATTTGATTTCTCTTTCCGCATCACTAGATCGGGATCGACGTGGATCGTTTGAGCTGGGCTGAAAAAAAAAAAACTCACACACACACAAAATACAAAGAAAAAGAGGTAAATAAATAAATAAATATCTGCGTGTTTGTGTTGATCTTTTTCATTAAAATAGGTTTATGTTTAATAAGACGTTGATGGAGTTAGCTCTATGATCTCTGAGCGAATCTATTGAGTCGTGCTTGTGTGTGTGTGCGTGTATGTGAGTTTCGATTTGATTTAGTGACTGCCATTTTGTGAATAGCTCTACACACGCAAAGCACCCCAATCACCCAGCACCGCCCCTGTCCCCACCCCCCCTCCCCACGACCCATCCAGTCACACTCACATTGTACGCTTGAGTACGTGCACTGAAATTTAAATATAATTTATGAGCAGCGTTGCATATAAAAACTTTAATGTTTGAGCTCTCTGGCAATAAAATGTCGCGATTGGCTGATTGACTTCGATGCGAGCGAACAGATCGATCGATCGAACGCTTGTCGCTCTGTATGTGTGTATATACATATGTATTCGCAGTCCATCTGAAACTTACGAAAGAGGAGCATGACCTAAAAATAATCAAAACTGTATAAGGTAGTAAAGCGCTTAACAGTCCATGAAGCTGGCTATTCACGCACAATTTCCAGTACAATTAAGGTGGGAACTTAGCAAATATCCAATCGGAATCCAATTGAATTCCGCTAAGAATCCGTGTGCGCTGTTAATGAGAATTTTTGGTCAGATGGAGTTGGTATTGATCAAGATATTATAACAGTTTCTTATTAGCTAAAATTTTGAATATACTTAAATTCCTTTAAAGCACTCTAAATGTTCTATAGAAATTATCTCAACTGAATAATAAAAACTATTTATAGAATTTTTCCCAACCTATATAGCTGAGTTAGAAAATATTTTCAAATGTGGTAAACACTTTTTTTTTCTTTTCTCAACTTTTTACTTCTTTGAAACAGTCCAAAAGTCATCTGAAATCCTTTAAAAACTCCCAATATTCCCTTGCCTTTGCCCGCGCTTTGCAATTGAAATTGCTTTCAATTCCAAAATCAAATCAATAAAATGCTCATAAATTTTTTTTGTATGTAAATAAATGTATTTTTTTTTTTTTTTTCATTTTCTTCATTTTTTCTTCTTTTTTGTATTTGTTGCGGTTTTTTGTATACCGTGTAATAAATTACTTAAAATTATAAAACGTTTTCGTATCAAAATATTTGTTCTGTTTGCTTCATTTCAAGTTTTGTTTTCTTTAGTAAATCTAAAAATTTGTATGTTTAGCACATTTTCAATGTATGCAAAAAGTTTCTTCATTTATATCAAAAATATATATATATATAGGTGTGTATATAGAGAGCTATGCTAAAATACTATAATAGAGGAGATACAAATATATACGAATTCTTTGTTCTATGTATACAGAATTATAGTTTACAGTTTCTTGTCGATTGCTCTTAGAGGCTTTACAGTTAGACGCCGGAGCGTAATACCTATATGTACAGGATATTTGCAAATACTTTACAATAGATCGGCTTAGGATTGAGACACACTTAGGGCATGGAAACAAAATTGTCAGAAATTCATAAAATTAATAAAATATTTTCTTTCCATTTTTTTTTTTTTTTTTTTTTCTTTTTTTTTTTTTTTTTAATTTTCTCTTGTAAAGAAAATGTTGACTAGAAAATAAAAAATAAAGTAAAATAAAAATACAATTTTTACGTTTCACTGGATGCGTGTGTGTGTTTCTGGTTGTGTGTGTGTGTCTTGGATATTTTGTTGGAGCTGCCGGGTTGCGCTTACTCTCGAGCTAGGAACTAATTTTTGGTGGAATATGGCTTGGAACGGCGTTGTGTAATACGACGCATTGGATGCTGCGCCGAGCCTAGGGCTCGGCATAGCCTCCATAGGATAGCTCAGAGTTGGAGCCAGCGCCGGAACTGGATCCGGTGGATCCGGAACCACTGCCGCCCGGACAACCGCCCTCATTGTGCTTCGTCAGCAGCGACATCCGCGAAAATGTCTTCGAGCAATTGCCGCACGAATATTTCTTGATGTCCGAGTGCGTCTGGAGATGCGCCCGCAGATTGGAGCGATCTGCAAAGGCGCGATGGCAATGCTGGCAGCTGAACGGCTTCTCGCCCGTGTGGGTGCGAATGTGGCCCTGCAGCAGCCAGGGCCGCGAGAAGGCCTTGCCACACATGTTGCACTTGCAGGGCAGCGTGTGGGTGCGGATGTGCATCTTGAGGGCGCCCAGCGAGACGTACGTCTTGTCGCAGTCCTTGCAGCTGAAGGACTTCTTCACCTGGTTGCCCTCGGCGGCTGGGCAATGGAATTGCTGATGCTTGGTGAGGCCCGAGAAGGTCGAGTAGGATTTCTGGCAGTCGGGGCATTGATAGCGTGGCGGCGCCGACTTGTCCTTTTTGCTGGGCGAAGACGAGACCGAGGCAGCCGAGGAGGCCGAAGAAACTGACGCAGAGGAGGAGGAGGACACTGTGGCAACCGAGGAGGCGGAGCTGTTGTGCTGTTTGCCGCTGGCCACATCAGCGAGCAGCGCCGCAGTGCTCGTCTGTTTGTGCTTCAGGGAAAGATCCTCGGGCACCGAACAGCAACTCGACTCGGGCGTCAGGCTGCGCATCGAGTAGTAGGAGCTCTCGGAGTAGGCTGGCGAAATTGGCGCATGATGCTGCGGATGCAACGGCTGATGATGCGGATAGCCGAGAGCAGTATAGGCGGCAGCCGGATACGTGGGATAGGGCAGAAATGTTTGATGCTGGCGCACGCCCAGCTGCGGTCTGTGGATCATCTCGGAGCGCATCGGCGGCGACACAGAGCTGGCACGTCCGTGCAGATAGTGATGGGGCGGCGGCGACAGGGAGCCCAACGAATCGGATGGGGAGCTGGGCGAGAGCAACTCGGCACGCAGTGGCGCCGCATTAGCCGCCGCGGCCGACAGATGCGGCTGATTGATGGTGCGATAGAATTCGGCTGTGTAGGACGACATGTGAAAATTCCATGGCGGTATGCCATACTTGGGATAGGTGGGTGTGGGCACCACCACGGATGCGGCTACCGCAGCCGCCGAGGCAGCTGCCACAGCGGCTGCAGCGGCCAGGGCTGCGGCCTGTGTCTGATTGGGATCACTCTCGACATTAACACAATCGACATCGTCGTCATCCTCGTGCTCCACATCCATCTGCTCGGCCTCATCGTCTGTGTGATCCACATCGACGCCCTCGTCCTCACAGCAGTCGCTCACATTGATGAGCTCATCCTCTGAGGCGCTGGAGGCGGCTGATGTCGCTGAGTGATCAATTGTTGTTGTTGTTGCTGTTCCTGTTGCTGTTGCTGTTGCTATTGGCGTACAGACATCGCTGCTGCTGCTCTTTTTCAGGCACAAATCCTCGGGCTCGGCTTCGAACTGATAGTTGACCGGACGCTTCTTTAAAGGACACTTGCTGTAGTTCTTTTCCACTAGCATATGCTCGACGGTATGCATTTTGTAACTGTTTTTTGTTTTATTTCTTGCTATTTTATCTTTGATTATTGTCACAGTCGAAATATATCAACTGCTTCTGTTCTGCTGGCTGTTGCTTCACATAAACATCGCGTTGCGCACAAAACTTAACGAACTGAACGAACTGTGTGTGTGGACTTGCCGTCAATTTGATTTTGGTTTTGCTTTTGCTGTTGCTGTTGCAATGAACGAAAGAGAAGAACTGAAAACCAAACGGCGCTAGCAGCCTTTTTATAAGCGGCGCACCAGCGCTGCGCGCAGCCGGAGAGCCCGAGAGAGCGCTGTGCCTGTGTGTTTGTTTATGCGAGAGCGAGTCAAAGAGCAGCAATTACCTGCTCCCTTATGTATGCCAGGCTGGCTGGCGGCTACCTGACTGAGACTGTGTGCCTGTGTGTGTGTGCGTTGATGCGTTGTTTTGCGGCCAATCGCAGAGCTCCGCGCCAAAACCGGTTTTCACTCAGTTTATATATGTTTTATATACTTCGAAGCGCGTACACTTGCACCAATCGCTAACGCCGCCGCAGCAACAACAACGAAAAACCGACTGCAGCTAAATGCCGTTATGTTTGCTATGGTGTGCAGCGTGGCCCCAGCTCCCTCCGTAGCAGCGAAAGAGAGCGAATCCAGTGGCGCAGTCCGATCACAGGAAGACACATGCAGCCCGCAGCTCTTCTCTTCCAATCAATCGCCGCACGAGTCAACACGAAGTCCCGACAGCGGCTGAGGCAGCGGCTGCAAAGAGCGCCGGAGCGTAAAAAGTATTGAACACAATAATTATAAAGCAACAATAATGTGATATACTAACATGTAATACGCTCTTAGCTTTGCTATGGACTCTTTTCGGGGGTGGCAAATGGCTCTTGCGCAGTTTCTCTGATACGATTCAAGACGCGTGCGAATTCAAATAAAATTTCAATAATTAAGACGCATTAAAAATGACAACTCACGATTGACGAATAAACAGAGTTGCAAGCAACGAAACTTATCGAGCTGTGTGAATGGCACTTGACAATCGCACGGAATGACGACATTAATTATCGAAATCGAGCAAATACATTAAATTGCCTATATTGAGAAAAATGAAAAGAAGCTGATAAGATGAGGATGAGGCAGAGCAGATCAGGTGCAGTACTTGATAAGGAAAGGGACCTGGAGGTACACAAAGCCCAGGTAAAACCCGGCACGTGTATCAATTGACAAGGCTTCAGGTAGTGCTCAAATTGATTTGATTGGATTTGTTGTTGCCAAAGAAACAGAGATAAGTCAGAGAAGCTGACCTGCCAAATATTCATATATTTACATATATGTATATATTTTCATTCCAGGCTACACCTGGAGTTGCGTGTACATATGTACTTATAAATGTACATATGTATATGTACATACAAAGTGGTACATACATACATACACAGTGATCCACAGCGTATTTCAAAAGCAAATAAGCGCAGCTATCTATGAGATCTGAGCTAAGACATATCAACAAAATTAATGTAAGTTGATTGATTAATTATCTTTATCGATATTTTTAGTTATTTTAAAATATTTAATAGCTAAAAATCCAACTAAATCCAGCACCTCCACAGCTTATTTCACTTATGTATGCAAGTAAATGAGCTCTCACATAACGCTCTCTTAAGCTACCAAAAAAATTCACAGCTCTTAGCATTATCTTCGTTCCATTCCCACACTGTTCCGCGTGGCGCTCTTAGCGCTCTCTTAAAATGCTGCCCCATTAAACGGCGCATGCTTAGCCAAGTGTCGCTTGTTAATCGACTCCGACAAGGGTTTAACTCGTAAATCTAAATTTAGACGCACAAATCCTGCCACGCACACACACACACCTACCGAAACGCGTGTTGAGCAATTAAAAAACAACACATGCAGCGCTCTCAAGTGGAGCCACCCGCAGCATCGGCAGCAGCTGAAGCTGTCAAAGGAGCGAAACAAACAAACAAACACTTTCCATGTTGTTTGTCAGATAAAAAAGGTGTCAGGCTGGGCTAGCATTGGCTTGAGTTGCTTCATAAATCATGCTCGAGTGCAGACCTGTGCCAATTGCCATGCGCTTCTTCTTCCCAGAATCTAGAATCCTGCTGCCCACACAGGCGCACGTTTAACTTAATTAGCGCGCTTATCAAATGTTTTTTGCTGTTGTTGTCTGTTTTTGCTCTGTTGTTCGCTTCTGGGAAGTCTCAGTTGCAGTCTAGGGCAAGCGCAATCTCTCGTCAGGCCAGGGCCAGCAGCATAAATTAGTGAGATAAAACCCGGTGCACCATCCACATCCACAGCATCCAACTGACCACGTACTGTGCCAGATGCGATTTACATGCTCAGCGCCAGTCGGATCTCTCTCTCTCCCTCCCTCCCTCGCTCTTATCTTATCGTCGTGGCTTGGGCAACTGTTGTCCTCTGCCTCCTCCTCCCTCTCCCCTCTCTCTCTCTCTCTCTCTCTACTCAAATGCCTCGATAGACTGTTAACCAAGATTTAATGATCTTGTTAACTAATTTTTTTCACCAGGCAGGACCACCCAACAGGTGTGGAGTGCCTAACCGCTGCGCAAGTTAATTAGCTTACGCTGGCTACTGCCTTAAATCATCTAGGCAACAAGTTTATTGTCGCCCGTTGACAAGTTCTGCGCCAATAAGTGGAGCGTTTCTTTTTCTTCTAGTTAACTCTACTGGGTGGCATTGAAGTCTACGAGATTTATTGGCAACATTTTCAGTCGTCTTGTGCTCCTTGGAACATAATATCCTGCCTGCCGCAACAACAGCTACAGAGCTGAAACACTTATGAAACTTTCACAGCAACCAAAACAAAACAAAAACGCCGCGGGTGCAGATGCTCCAGCTTCCAGGTTCAGAGATGTCCATAAGCCGCACGCACTTTCATCGAGTGCATCGATCGCACGCAGATCCGTGTCGCCACATCTTTTTCTTTCATTTTTTTTGGGCCAGGCCCGTGAGGTAGAGTCAATAAAAATGCTCGATTGTAATTTTCACTGTGCTGCAATTATTGCCTCAGCTTTCAAATGCTGCGGTAGGGCCTGCATCTCTCCGGTGTCTCCTGATTCCTCCTGGTCTCTCCTGCTCTCCCCTCGAGTTTCGTTACAAAAGTAATTTTCAATTTTTACTGCCTGCTCGAAGCATAAAATATAAAGCACAACTCTGTAGAGATCTGCGGAGCTGTATCTCTCCACCTTCTCCGCTCGCTTCATCCCACACACGCACACTTGTAAATGGCACACGTTGGCCGCTTTGCTTATCCTCAACCTCAACAAGTGGCTGTGGCTTTTTTTCTGTTTCTTTTTTTTCTTTTTTTGCCTGCGTGTCCTTAAAACGCTTAAATGCAAAATGAAACACGAGTTTTTCATGTATTTCGGAGCAGACAAATCTCATTAAAAGGCGTCGCGTCGCGTCTTCGCTCATAAGGAAGTCTCAACAGACTCTCCCTCTCTCTCTCTCTCTCTCTCGCTCTGTCTCCCTGGCCTGCGCTTGACCCCTTTCGCTCTCGTGCTCAGGCGTTGTATTTAAAATGTCGTTAATAATTTGTTGCTCTGCCCCAGACACAGACTCAAACACACACACACACAGAGACACGTATATAGACGCAGTCGCAAGTTCCTTGGCCGCATTTGCTTTCTTCTTCTTCTTCTTCTGCTTCTTTTTAAAGCTTGTCGTAAAAGAGTTTTATTATTTCTGTTTCAGTGCCTTTAAATAGGATTAGTACCTTAAGAGCTGCTCATATTGTGCGGCTCTTGTGCCTTGTTTCATCTTGCAACAAATAAACTGAAGTAACAAAAATATTATATTGCTAAAAACAAGAGAAAAAACCTTTATCTTTTAACACGCTTTCCAATATTATGAAATTTGTAAAAATATGGCTTACAGAATTTTTTTGAGTATATATTTTTCGTAGTTTTCAATTTTTTTTTAGTTACAAATAATTCAAAATTGCTAAAATTGCAATAAAAAGCAAATAGTTTTTTTTTTTTTTTTTTTTTTTTTTTTTATAGAGATTTGAATGAATTCATATGCATATATATACATCTTATAATAGACATATTATATTCAAAACATATTGTCATTATGAATATAATATAACATATTCATATTATATCCATATCGTATGCCCTTAATATTCATATCATATTAATATTATATCATATTCATATTTATATTTAAGTCGTATGAATGCCATGAACTGAATTTAATGAGTATTATTAATACATAATGTATAAGTTATTATTTTTATTATAATTATTTATTTATTTATTATTAATTTAATTTATGTATGAAAGCATAAATTAATTTGACTTTACTGACATTCTATGATTTCGTTTCTTCCTTTTTATCAACTTCCAAGTCTCTGCTCGTTTTACAACACTAAAGCGTGCCATTAAAATCCCTGCCTACATGTGAATTCGCGCAATCAGCTATGTTTTCGTATGTAAATTGTAACAAAAAATAAAAAATGAAATACAAATAGCAGTAAGAAGAAGAGGTAAAAAAAAGTAAATAATGTCGTGGAATTGTAAAAGTTCAGTCGGGCAGTAACAACGTGATTTTCAAAAAAAAAAAAAAAAAAAATGCCTCCAGATGCAAATTGTCTGTGGGCAGCAGAATAGAACAAGAAGAACAAGAGTAGGCGGGAGGGAGGAGGAGTGGGAGATGAGGACGAGCGCTAAGCAGAAGTGAAGCTTTTTAAATTGGAGCTCAGAGATTCTCCCACAGCCCACTGCACTAGTTTCCCAATGCGCATTGATGCTGCGATGACAATAATGTTGTCTGCGCTTCGTTACGTGTTGCTGCCTTTGTTGTTGTTGTTGTTGCAGTTGCAGTTGCAATTGTTGGTGCTGCTGGTGCTGCTGCAGCTTTAACCATAGCCAGTGCATTGTCATTGTCACCATAACAATTTTGTTAGCCTTTTTCTGCATTGGCCAGTGCCTCCCGCTGTGCTGTGCATTGTTTGTGCCGCGCACGCTGCGTCGATTTCCCAGAATTGACACCTTGCTCTGTCTGCACTCTTCTTCCTCTCTCTCTACCTCTCCCTCTCCCTCTTCTTTTGCCTCTTCAAGATTTGCTACAGTTTCGTGTGCGACGCGCCAAGTTGTCTGCCCCGTGTTAGCTGGTGTAATCAGCCCGGGCACGGCGTGTGGAATCTTTTGGCACATTCATCATTCCAGGCTGCCATTGAAACAATTGTGAAGCACACACACACACTCACATATGTACAAGTATAGTATTTATAGTATGTGTGCCTGGCCAGGTGTTTGCCCAGGAATTTCAATTTGCATAAATTTGGTTCAGATTTGCGTACAATAGGACCTGAAGCAGCAGCAGGCGTAGCTGCCTGAGGATAAGCAGCCTCTACCTCCGCCTCTACCTTCAGTAGTGCATAATGATCGATGCACATTGGATTGTGCGTGGCTTCTAATGAAGATGTTGCTCTGATCTTCGCTTGTGACGAGCGGCAGATGCATATGGCTCAAGTTGAGTGCAGTCGGATCGTCAACTATTAATATTACTATGTATGTATACATGTATGTATGATCATGAGAATTGTAGTGCCAACTCTGGAATCTATTAATTCAGCTGTGCCTATTTGATCTCTGCAGCGATTCGGTTCCGACTATTCTACGACTACCTCTTCGGCTCTAAGACTATGCATACTCAAATTTCAAGCTTCCACAGTTCCAGAAATTGAAACACTTAAAAGCGTGGGAGTCCGTAATAGTAGTATATACTCTATAGAGCTGTTCCTTCTTCAAATGAGTGAACTCTCTCCTCTCAATTTTTGTTTTATTTCAATATTAGTTTTATTTCAATATAAGGGATCCACGCATTTAATCGTTCGAAGAAAAGGATCACATTTTGCTTATGTTAGTTTAATATAATATAAAATCAGTTCAATATATAGGTCAGAGAAAATTAAATTAAAAAAAAAAAAATATATATATATATATAAATAACAATAATGTTAAGAATTTTTCGATAAAGCATAATAAAAGCTTAAGATTATTCTTCTGTGTTCAGTCACATATAGATCAGTTATAAATCGAAAACTGTAAAAGCTAGAAATGCCAACTCTCGCAAGCAAGCTCTTCTAATAAACAGAATAACCATTTATTTTAATACACATTTAGTTATAATGAAGGTATCAATACTTGGAAAATGACATCAGAATCCTTCAAAATCGAGCGCATTTGTTTAGGAATTTATTTAACTTCGAATCGTATCCACAGCAACACCTTTAACTCAGTGAAAGGGTAATTCCTAGGCAATTCTTTTCCATTTAGAGCTTACTTCCTTTTATACAATTCACATCAGCTAGACAACCTGGCAGCCCGGCTGGCCCAGCTGTGCCGGCCAGATGGTGGTACAACTCACTTCGGGGCAGACCACCTGATGCCACCACCGAGGGCGTGCACGGGCAGCGCTAATGCACCACCTACAGCTACTGGCACAAGAAAAACAAAACAAGTGGAAAACAATGCACAGTTATATTAGGAACTGTGCAAAATCGAAACGCAATAGAGAAATAGAGAATTAGAGCATGCGGCGTGCGGGATAGACGCCTGCTAAGCAGTTCATTTGTTCGCAGATTAGACGGCAAGGCGGCAGGACAAAGCTAAACAGAGTCGTATGGCTTTCTATAGAGGGAGAAAGAGAGAGAGAGAGGGGCAGAGGGAGAGTGAGAGAGGTAGATCAACTGCACTGCAAAAGCCTACACGCACCGTGAGAAAGCAACAGGTGTGGTCGAGTCTCTTGACCAAATGCTAAGCCCGGCCAGGTCGCTTATCTGGCATAGTTTATCGGGCACCTGCTTGACCAGCAAATTGCCCAGGCAAATAAACCCATTCGGCGTGGTAAATATGCTCGTGTCATCAGAAATCACGATCACAACGCTATGAAACAGCCGTTGACCAAAGGCAAACAAATTCAGGTGCTAAACGTGTTGTGCGTGTTCAAATGACATTTCATTTATCTTTCATGTGGTCAGCTCAGTCAGCTCAGGCAGTCGACCCACGGGTCGAGCTTCTATTTGCTCATAGTTCAGGTATTTATTTACCGACAGCTTGGCAAACGCTTAACAAGTGTCTGCGGTTGCTGTTTGTTTGTATATGCATTTAGTCAGGCTCGATGACAAGATAATAAGAGAATATATATAAGAGATAATACGAAATAAAAAATATATATAATTCATGTTTTGTGTTTCAACTGGTTATCACAAGGGTTATCCTGTGCGGTTACCTGATTTTTCGAAAATTAATATTTTTTTATTTTCGTGAGATAAGTAAAATTGATTTTTAAAATAAATTTCTTTGGGATGTGCCTAACATCCCGTAGTATTTACTTATATATCTATCTGTAATAATAGAGATAGTTAATTATATTCGGTTTCAAAGAGATATTTTTACTTTTTTTAAAATAATTAATAGAGAATTTTTATATATTAATTTAATTGATTAATGAATCAATTAATCAGTTCCCCAATTCTCTACACAACACCTCTATTTTTCCATATTCCATGCATTAAATACAGCTCAATCTAATATATTATATTAGAAATTTATAGATATAATTCTAATATCTCTATCCTAACATATCCCATACATTACATACAGCACTATCTAATATCTCACTCCCCACAGCAAAACAGCAATGGCTCTTGAGCGCATCGTATTGGAAAACTTCAAGAGCTACTCGAGCTAAGAGTATTTCCATCAAATCTCGACTCTCTCTCATAGTAGTGCCAAATGAATCACTCGCTGCGCTACGCTTCAGCGTCCAATTTGCAGCGCAGGGCACATGCCAATACAAAAACTCAATTGCTGGCTGCAGGTCGACTTACCTACTGGATCAAACGCTAAATCCTCAAACAAAGGACAACATGGCAAAAAATAAAAAAAAAGGAAAAAAGAATAGAATGAAAAAGTATTATAGACAAATGTGGGCATACTTTTGCCTTTGGCACAAGGACAGGTGATGAGCGTCTATCCAGATTCCTCGTTTCTCATCTCGTTTTGTGTTTTCGTCGAATGCCACACAGGACTCGAAAGTCAGGTCTGGAACCTGTGCCTAGGATGTGCTGATGCCTATCGCTATTATTCGCAAAAAATAAGAAGCAGAACAAAAAGATGTGCACACAAAAGCGGGCGGCCAGACAGCTGACAAATCTGAAGAGCTGAAGATGCTATTAGAAAACCAGAGACGGAGCTAAGGAGAGAGAGAGAGAGAGAGAGAGAGAGAGAGAAAGAGAGTGACAGCGAGAGGGAGATAGGTATGCCAACCAGCTGCCTGGCCATGGCTTAGGACATGCACCGTCCTTTTTAACTTCGTTCGGTTTTTGGCAAGGTGCCGGGATTGCGTCATGTACAGTGCGCCCTCGGCAAGGTGGTCTGCTATGACTCTCGGTTTAGAGCGAACTGTCGACATAAATCTTGCTTATATATATTTTGTCATAATTCAGTGTGGAGATCTCGCTGGCATCGCTTATTATTTCGTTTTTAATTGATTGGGAGCGGAAGTGGCTGAGCATCGCTTCATAATGCCCTAGACCTATTATTAATTGTCATAAATCTTGATAAAGCAAAGATCGTACGAAATGAGTTCAAGCTGCAAACGAGGCTTAAACCCTTCATTAGGCAAGGCTTTGATTTGGTGAACTGTTTCTCGTTTATGTTTCTCGTCAAATTACATAATGATGGCCAGCCTACAGACCCAGGCTTGAGTCCTTGCCACGCCTTGCACACACACACACACACACACACACACATACCCATAGAGGCCGCACCTTTTGTGTGTGGGTGTGGCAGTCCAAATAAAGGCAATCCTTTTTATGGCCGCCGCGGTCCACTTGACAGTTTAACCAAAAATGCAAACCGTTGAAATTAAGTTAAATAGTTTCTTGTTAAAGCAAACCCTTTTCTCGAGTACCGTTTCTTTTCGGCTGGCTCTCTGCTGCAAGCGCGCACCTGCCAAATGATTAATCATTTTGTGGCCCCGAACTCGTCTGCCTTTAACACCTTTACCCTCTCTACCTCCCGCACTCACTCCCTCTCACGCTCTCTCTCTTTCTCTGTTAGTTGCACCCGTCGCCTCTTCAATCCATCGTTGAGTTTTCTTTGACTCTCTCTTATTCTTCTTCTTCACTTTTTTTTCTTTTTGTTAAATGCTAAAAGCTCATCAATTATACGGCATGCATCTGTCTTTTTAGGGGCTTGTTGCACCGTCGCTGCGAGGCGCCAAAGGTCGCGCTTTTCTCTTTTCATTTTGGATGCTAAGTCTCTAATCATGTCCATCAATTTGATGACTGCACATTCTCGTATAAGGGCTCACCTACATATGTGTCTATGTTGAATGAAATTGCCTCACTCGCTGGGCGATCCAATGCTATTTATTTGCTTTGTGGGCGGTCGCAGCGTGAATTCTTTTAATGCTTTACTCTAATTTAATCTTAATTACGCATTTTATATTATTTTAATTACATTTTCTATGGTATATTGTATTATGGACTGACATTATTGTAATCTTTTAGGATGGGCTTGACTCTTGAAGTGATTAACACATAAAACTGTACAGAACTTATTTGATTTATACATTTTTCTATCTATACCAATAGGGTTTAAGGTTGAGTCAAGAATCTGTAATGTTTTAGTTGGAGTTAAAGGTGATAAGCTGGGTGGGCTCTTTGGAGCATAGAGCAATATTCCTAAATCATCCTTTTGTTTTTTCACGAACATAATTTCTTTAGTTCTTATGCTCTTAAGTTTTTTCCTTAGCGTATAGAAACTCTCAATTTTTTTCATTAATTGAACAATGATCACAATTGTATAAAAAATAAATTTGTGACAGGATTCTATAAAATGAAAAAGTTATTAAGAGTATTATTATTAAGAAATGTAGTTGTTATCTTCACTTTGCTGTTCCTAGAATAGTCTATGTAGTCTTTCGTTCCTATAGAATTTAATGTACTTGCAAAACATATTCGTTCTTTTAATTGATACATATTCTTTATTATTATTTATATACATATTCTTTATTATTATTTATATTTATATATATATATTCATTTTTTGCACTCCCTTGAATAATCTTTCTAGCAAATAACCTACTTTTATATTCCAATATGCAAATAATATGCTATACCTATTCTAAAAATTTCCGAACATGATTCTATGGCCATTTTAATTGATTTTCATTCAAAATTTCTAGCATAATTTCTCTTCTGGCAATCTTTCAACAAAGTAAGGACCTACGCACTGTCATATGCAGACACGACTCATAAATCCAAAGGGAGAGAGACAAACGCGATGCACTTTAGGCGCACGCGCAGATGTTTTTACAGGATTTTTCATTAGTGTCAGCACTCGTTGCATGCAGCTCAAGCGCATTTGAATAAATAAGTGTGCATGTGCGAGTGTGTGTGTGTGTGTGTGCATACACCAAACAAAACATGTCAGGTCCCAAACATAATTGAAAAGAAAGAAGGAACGCGCGCGCGCGCGTCTATAAATCAACGCGGCAGGATAATGCATCCACGAGTGTTGAGCACTAATTTTGGCTCGTTGCGGCATCTGTCCAGGAGCCAAGGCAGCATCAGGAGGAGGAGGAGCAGCAGCAACAGCAGCAGCAGCAATAACAAAGCGGCCTCCATTGAACACATCGAGTGGCTTCTTCGCTTGAATGCAATGCGAGAAATTTAGATCCCTTACAAAGAGAGACTGAGCGCGTAATATGAGGCAGCCTGGCTAGCGCACCTGGCCGTGATTTGGAAACAGAGCTGAACACGGCTGAACTACTTAGAGGCAGACGTGGAACAGGTTGACGACTCACGAAGCGAGCCAACAAACCAGCTTCATAGCGGTCACAGCTGAGTAAAACAAAAAACTAACAGCAAAAATTATAATATTAAAATGTTATTACATTAAACAACGACAGCAACAACCACATCGCAACAACTACAGCAACTGAGTTGTTGTGCCTCCCTTTTTGGAGACGACACAAATCAGATCAACCGTTGCCTGAACCGTGATGAACCTGCCGCGCAGCGAGCCAGCTCTGGTCCCGTTGTGTGTGCTCTGCGCCGTCTGATGTTGCAACAGTGCCAGAGTCCACAAGCGGTAAGTGCCCCAACCATTAAACTTCCAGCTAGTGGCACGAGCTTAATGTTGTCGTTATACATTTTACAGGTTGACGACACACGAACCAGCGCGATTCACAGTTTGCAGCTTCAGCAACGTCAGCAACGTCAGCAGCGTCAGCTCTCCGTCTGCAGGGGAGAGTCGTGGACAGTCGCGCTCCCTTGTCCATGTGGGGGGCGTGCATCCAACACACATATATCCGTGCAACCACAGGCCATGCACGCCGCCGCCGGCGTGTTGCACTTTAAGTTTTTTTTTGGCTTAAACATTTAGCTCATTGCAAATGGCTGACAGGGTATATTAGTTCTTTGGAATGTGTCACATACTGAAGTAGGTCCAATCCATTAGCAATGAGAATGAACTGAAAGCATATATCTATCTCTATGTCATTTCCTTAAGATAATCGATCTGTGTGTCCTCATATCACATTGAGCCTGGGAAACATAGGAGATATTTGAACCTAGTCAAGGCAATGAGACTTCATCTTATATCAAAAATCATAAGATTTATGCTAAACATGTCAAACACCATTCGTAGAGCTCGAGCTCTGGAACAGTTTACACAACTTACAAATGTTTATCTCCTTTGTATATCCCCTAAATTACATACATTAAGTTTCACTTCACTTTATTAATTATGCAGGGTATCTCCCAGTCAATCAATCCCAACAGCAAATACCCTCAGTCGCCCGTCTGACTTCAGTCATCGGTTGGGGGCACAGTGCCCGACTGCAGCCTAACAGCTATTAAGTTTGCCCGCTTTGCCCACTTTGCATATGATTTTTGTTGTTGTGGTTTCATGTGTTGTTGTTTTTTTTCGGGGCCCTGGGGGTCAGCGTGGGGCGCAGGCACACGCGGGTTATCGTCCGGTTTATGGTGCCATCGAGGAACGCGCGTCATGTTTATAAAGAAATTCTCTGCTGTTCACATAATACGAGTAATTTTCTTTTGGCAACGTGTCGTCAATGGGCATCCATCGATGCCTGGCGGCTACTCCGAATGGGAGCTGCTTTGGCCAAGTACCCAGCACTGCGTCATGTGGTTCGTTCGCTTTGTCTTTAATGTTTTTATAAAGTGTTTGCTTCTTGTTGTGAGGCGAAGTTTTCTGGCGATTTTTTCTTTGTTATAATATGCGATTCAAATAATTATAAATGATTATATTTAAATAAATACATATAAGATTGTTTATCCCGATTAATGAGTTGATATATTCGTTTAGATTTGTCTGGCAGATCATGAAATTCACATACATAAAGCTCTTCTTTTTGAAATATTGTTGAAATACATTTAAATTTATATTTTTGTGACTCTTTAATAGACAAAGTTAAAGAATATTTTTTATAATTTCATTATAATTAAATTAAGTTCGATTAGAATTGGTTCATTTAGAGTCTTTCTTTAAAACTTTTAAGATATATTTTACTGGCTATCTAATATTGATTAAGGTCAAATTCCAGAGATTCATCGTTGGAGAATTTACTGCTTTTGAGCAAAGTTCGATGCAATTTCTTTTAATAAAATATTGATTGATTGTTAAATGATTTTTACAATTATACAATAAAGGAATTATGAAAAATATAATTTGTAAATTTTATAATAAATTTGTAATATTTTTTGTATATACAGCTAAAAGTAGAAGCTTGTTAAAAATGCTTCTTAATAAACAGTTAAAAATAGCAAGTGTTAAAAGATTCATCTAAGATAAAAATCTATTTGTCATTCTAAAATTCTTCAAATTCATTCAGTTAGGTATGCTCAATAGTTATCGTATTCCTGTTACCAATTTGCTGGAAACAATGCTCAATTTCAATTCTTCCCAGAAGCAAGCGGAAATGCGATGCTGTAAAAATAAATTAGATATGGAAGTAGCAACAATAATATTGTAGGTGTTTTGTCAATTGTCTACGTTTGGCAAGGCGTGTCATTTTCACTTCCTGCTGCTCAAAAAGAAAAACGAGACACACGTCAAGTTGTCCCTCTCTATGTGTGGGTGTGTGTGTATTGCAGGTGCACATCAGGTGCATTTTTGTTTCACTTTTTTTGCTCGTCTCACATCGAACTTAATAGCTAAGCAATGCAAACTGTAATTGAAACATTACCATCGCCTGTCAGCCGTTTCCATAAGCAAAATGAATCGTTTCCTTTCATATTTAAATCGGAGCAGGCCTGCCAGCAGCATATCAAGCTAACTTTTTCAAATGCCACCACGCCCACTTAAGTGGCGGCTGAAAACCAGTAGCCGCAGCCGCAGCCGCAGTCGCATGCAACTGCCACCGAGGGCAAACGTTGCCTGCAATCAAAATCTTCAGCCACTGCCGTCGCCGTTGCTGTTGCCGCCACCGCCGCCACTTTCACACGTCCACATCATCCACATCCATATCCACAACCACATGCACAACGTCATCATCATCGTCATAATAATAATCAACATTTAAGCTAACAACGTCAGCCTGCATTCGCAATAAACGTTTCACGTCAAAGATTGATCATTGCGGCCAGCCCAGGCTGTGGCTCAGACTCATCCATTTCGCCCAATCAGCCACACCCACAAGATGCAACACTGCAGTTAAAAGCCCTCACAGCGCTCCAGCTCCACCCGCCCCGCCTTCCCTGCATTAAAATGGCTTAAAAGTTGGGCAGAGGTGGCAAGAACAATAACCAGTAGGAGCGTACTGATTTGAAAGTACTTGAACCTGAGATATCCTGTAGAAGGGTATTTTGTTTGAATGTTTAAGTAAAGCACAATTAAATGAAAATAAAGGAATATTAAATAGAAATTTAATTCAATAAATTTTATACTAAATGCATTTTGTAAATATTGTATATATATTTTGTATATATAATCTACCTAAATCGGCTTTATTTCAATATGTGTTTTTATTTTTATAACGTTCTAGTACTAACTGCTTTTTTTAGTGGCTGCTAAGTTAAAGCTTTCTATATACAACTAGAATCCAATCTCATAGATATCTATCTAAGTATAGCTGCCAAAAACTTATAAACAAAACAATTTTATTTAAATTAATATTTTCATCTATATTTTCTTGAAATATTTCTAATCCATTTAAATACTAGCAAAGTAGAGCTTTAACACCTGCTCTCTTATATAGGTCTATCCTTAATAATTATCTATATATCAACCTGTCTATTTGTTTCATACAGTGAAAACTGCCGCAACACCCACAGTCCCAGCAAGCCCAGCTCTGCGAGGCAGGGCGCATAGGGTATATTCCTATCTATATATAGCAAAACAGTGGCTTTTGGCTTGCTGCTTCCGCTGCTCGACTGTGCTGCAAGGTGTGTGGCAGCAACAGTAGCTTCCACCGCTACTAAAAGCGCAACAATTGCCAATTTCGCTTGCTGCGCCCAAAAATACAAAAAAAACACAACGCAGCCAACCCAACAGGTACGCAAAAGCCTGGCTCAATGGAGGCGATGCCAATTGTTGTCTGTCTGTCTATCTGTGTGTGTGTGTGTGTGTGTGTGTGCGACCTGTGCCCGGCTGTCGCTGCACTCCATGTTGCCTTCAACTTTCTACAACTGCTGCCACATGCTGTGGATATCTATGAATGGGACGCAGCGTCCCATTCTCAACTCGCATCGCATCGACTTGCAGGCGGTGCTACATCATCGTCGACGTTTGCGACGTCAACTTGTTGCGATTTCGATTTCCTGTGCGCAAAACTTTGACGTTTGCTGGGTCACCTTGCCTAGGAGGGGGAGCGTGGGGTGAGGGGTGATATTCGTAATTGCTCTGAAAAGAAATTTCCATATGATAATATTTATTCGCTGGAATATGCCCACAACTCATCGGTCTAAACGTCTAAAAAAAAAAAAACAAAATACGTCCAGCTACGCCCGCGCTCCACGCAACACTCACTCTTCTTCTCGTTGTTGTCGTTATCGTTGTTGTTGTTGTTGTCTATTTGACACTGCGCAGGCGGCGAGGATGCACTGCAAACAGTGTGTGGGTGGTCGCCGCAACTGCAGCTCCAACTGCAACTCTGACTCGTCGTCTGGCAGCAGCAGTCACTTTTCGGGTTACCTTCGACTGACTGCGGCATTCGTGTTCGCATTTCTTATTTTTATTTTTGTATTTCCATTTGGCCAACTGGCTCTGTCGTTTATCGTTCAGCTCTACTCCTGCTTCTTCGCTTTTATTTTGCCTCTTTCTTTATTATCTAGTTGGCATTTTAGTTGAATTGTTAGCTTAGTTTATGTGCTGATCCCAACTGTGGCCCCCTCCTTTCCTCTGCTGCTCCCCTCCTACTGATCCTGCTGAATTATGCAAGCTGGCCTCGTATTGGCAATTGCCATTGCCAATCTGCATTTCTAAATACATTGGATTGAATATGGACCGTTAGCATTACGATTGATGCACTGACTATTTGCTAACTTATCGTTATTCAAATTTTTAGTGCTTTGCCGCAGTGTTGTAAAAGGCCAAGCGTAATCGATAGACGATTAAGACAATGGTGGATGCTTTTGCAAGCCAGTAAAAGATTCATTGCAATTCTAACTAATCAATTGTATTATTGAAGAGATAATTGAATGACTATCAGAGAGAGAGAGAGAGGGAATGAAAAATTTTCGTGTACAATTTTGGCTAGGAGTAATCGATAGGCGATAAAGAGAGTGGATGCTTTTGCAAGCCAGTAAAAGATTCGTTGCAATTCTAATTAATCAATTGCAATATTGAGGAGATTATAGAAAGAGAGGGAGGAATGAGAAAGAATTCTTGAAGAGTTTAATCATAAATTTTGCTCGAGTCGAGTGCTGTAAAATATTATGAGTAATCGATAGGCGATAAACACAATGGTTGCTTTTAGAAGTCAGTAAAAGTTTTTCTGCAATTCTAATTAATTAATTGCAATATTAAATAGAAAAAGAGAGGGAGACGGAATGGGAAACAATTCTTGTAGAATTTATTCATAATTTTCACTCTAGTGTAGTGCTGTAAAGGGCTCAAAGCTATCGATAGGCGATAGGACCAATATAGTACTTGGCTGTCAAACGAACACACTCTATGTAGGCTTCGATTTTCGTCACTCGACTGTCTGTATATTAAAACAGTATTTCTATTCTCAATCAACTTGCATCGAGCTCATCTTGAAGCAACTCGAATAATAATTATAAGAAAAGTCAAGCCAAGCGCACACCTTGCATCAGCCAACAACTCCAGTAAGTAAACCCGCATCTACCCCTATGGTTATCAGGCCAAGTTCTCAACTTGTAAAAACAATGATAATTAAAGAAAAGAAAATACATAATTAGGTCGACGCCTTGCGGCTGCGACTGCGCTGCGCTGCAATGCACTGCACTGACGGCACGCGTAATGAACCTGTTCGGGAGCAAGGCAACTCGTCCGGGCGACAACTCAGACAACAGGCGACAGACGACAGACGGTGTCGGCGGCGTCGGCACACGCAGCCAACAAAGCGACTGACGCACGCACACACACACAGACACCTTGACCAGAATTTCTAATAAATTTCTAGCTAGGGGTAACAACATGTCACAACACCAGCCCAGAGCTCAGGTAGTGCCTAGTTTAAGTATGCGCCCAAGCACCCTCATGACGGACTGACTGTCTGACTGACTGGACGAGACGGGACGGGCCT